TATCTAAGGAACAGACAACAACTTTATGAGTGCTGGCTACTATATTCCTTTTTGAGATAAGAAGACTGTTGCATAAAACGGTTGTGTCATTCCCTCTATATTCCATAATGGTAGAGACCACATTTGAATCCAGGTCCTCTAAATGCATAACTCATTTTTTAACATAATTTATTTATTCCTTTAGTAAGACATGGTCTTATAAAATTATTCTCATTACAAATTAATCAGAGTATATTATGTAAATAATGTTTGTGTTTAAATGATTGCTTATATTTCTTTGGCCTAAATCTTACACTTTTGAAGCATTTTAATATATTGCAATAAAATTTCCAGGCTATATATCAATAATTAATCAAGCTGATGAGAAGTAATTAACATTTATAATGTTAGCAGGTTCACACAAGAATATTGAAATATAATCAATTATAATTATTGACTCAAAATAAGAAGAATAAGGCAATTATTTAAACAAACGATAGTCAACAAATGTAATAAAAATCAAACTGAGATTATCACAACAATCTTAAAAAAATATTTGAGTTTAGTACCTTCTTCTCTCCACAATATGTTAACTACTGAAGCATGTTGAAAAGAAAAAGAAGAGAAAGAAAAATAAGTAAAGAAATCATTAACCTCATAGCAACATACTGGTAAATAACTATTGACGAGGTCAAATCTCTGGGGTAGAACATGTACACAAAAGTAGTGACATTGAATTCAGTAAGTCATTTTATATTCACAGAACAATAAAATGTTGGGATCAGGTAATAATTTTCTGGGCATTTCTTGAAATAGCCAATTTCTCTATTTATTAGTGAAGAGTTTGTTAATAAACAAAACATTTTATATATCATTGAAAAGAATAGGATATGTAAGACAATTTTATCAAAAAATGTTTTTAGAAAAAGTATTGATTGTCAAATTATTTATTTAGGGGACAGTTAACTTAAAAGTTACCCATCAAATTTATACTTTTTATAATTCCACCATAATATGAAATACTCCCGAACAAGAAGAGTTCTTATAAACAGAAGATATTGAACACAAAAGTAGCCTAGTTTTAACTAGTAGATATTTTCTCTGTTTCAAACCCGATAGAAAGAAAATATATCTAGAAATAATTGTGTATTTCAGTACATACTGAATTGTACAATATTGAGACTAAGTCAGTAGAGAGTTATAATATTAAAAGAGAAAGAGAAAAAAGAACAATGGAAAATATTCTTAAGGAAATGTCCACCTCTTTATAATTAAAGTGCACACGAACTCTATATATTTTCAAAGTTAAAAAACATAAGTAAAATGAAAGAAAAAAATAGAAAAATCTTGTACACAGTTAATTACTTCCTGGGTATTTTGACCATATTAAGGAATAATCACAGTTTTCTTTAACTGAACCCATATGTACATGTAACAAGGCCAAGAATGGAGTTTAGCACTCCTTATTTGATGCTTAAGGCCAAAGTCATACAACTTTTAGCACCTGCTGTATTTCCTTTAAATATAAATTTTTAAAGGTAAGCATTTTTGTGGAGGTTTTTTGGTGTTTTTAATTCCTTAACACTATTCATTCAAACATAAATCCATGATGCATGCATTCCTTCAGCCATATTTTGCTGTTATTCTTGTGTGTACAAGGCCCTCTGAATAAGGATGAAAAAGTACAAACTTTCAGTTATAAGATAAACAAGTTATAGAGTTGTAATGTACAGTTTGGGTGGTGATGGATGTGTTAATTAATATGATCATGATAACCATCTTATAATGCTTAAATACAGTATGTATCAAATCATCATCTTGTATACCTTGAACATATACAATTATTATTTGTCAATTAAATATTTTAAAATTATAAAATGGAAAGACAAAACTTAGTCTCAAGGAGAGGAAAGAAAACCATAGAAACAAATAATTACAACAATGTGATGGGTGAGACAGGAGAGGCAAAACAAGAGTCAGGAAGTATGAACAAGACGGAATGATCATTGCTGTGGGGAAGATGTGGAGTGAAAGCTCCACTGGGGTGATGCTCAGTAGGCAAAGTGAGCTCACCCAAGCTGACAAGAGAGCTGTGAGGTGTAGGAGGTCCAGAGAAGTTATTCTACATGCATTACAAAATCATGTTCAAGGCATGCCAACCAAAAATTTAACACTTCCAGATATTATCAAAAAAATACACCCACACACATTCAAGGCATACCAGCTAAAAACGTCAAAACACATTCAGATAATTTCAAGTAATTTGGCGTTGGGAGAATAAAACAGAGAATGAAGTAGGACTATTCATGATAAGATCCTTATTTGATGCTTAAGGCCAAAGTTTTTGTATACAATGCAAAAGAAATTCAATTTTCTTTTGTAGGTTTAGGAAAGTTGAGTCATGGTTAGAAAGCATTATTACTCTGTCTTATGGAAACAGATTGCTAAGTATATGTTTCCTTCTGTCTCCATTGGTCCACTTAATTGTTACTGATGGAGTGCCTCGCTAGTGTTAGGTTATATTCAGAGCTACAGAAAGACCCCAGTCGTTGTTCTAACACAGACTATATTCTTGTTGAGTAGACAAAAAGTCTCCAAATGATGACAGAAAAAAATTCAAAATTAAAAATTTAGTGTGTTATGAGAGAATGAAATAGAATAATATGAGTGCTTTTATTGAGTGGATTAGACACACTCATTGAACCTAAAGAAACCCTCCTAATTATAATGATTAAAATGAAGTCTGAAAGATGAATAAATTAAGTAATGATCATAGGGATTAGACTTCTAGAAATAAAAAAAAAAGCATGTACAAAATTATAGTTGGATGTCAAAACACTGCTATTTTAAAGGACCAAGGAAATTTTAAGTAGGGACAGAGACATTTTAGGATAGGCAATCATCTATTAAGAAAACCCCCTAAATACAAAAGAACCTGTAATACAATACAAGGTAAAGTCCAAAGACCTACATATTAAACTGAAAATTACAAAAGTGAAGGCCTGGGGCAGTGGCTCATGCCTGTAATCCTAGGAGTCTGGGAGACCGAGGAGGGTGGACTGCCTGAGCTCAGGGGTTCAAGACCAGCCTGAGCTAGAGCAAGACCCTGTCTTAAAAATAGCTGGGCCTTGTGGTGGGTGCCTGTAGTCCCAGCTACTCAGGAGGCTGAGGAAAGAGAATTGTTTGAGGCCAGTAGTTGGTGGTTGCTGTGAGCTGTGAGGCCATCACACTCTACCAAGGACAACAAAGTGAGACTCTGTCTCAAAAAAAAAGAAAATCACAGAAGTGTAAAAACATAATAGTCAAATCTGAGTCACAAATAATTTTGAGACAAAAATAATTTACATAAAACACAATGAAAAAGAGAATTTAACATATGGGCTCCATGGGCTTTTTAGCCAAAGAATAATGCATACATGGCTAATTGATGGTTTAGTGGGAAAACATAAGACAGAGAAGAGAGAGAGAAGGAAGAATGGAGGAGAGATGGAGGGAGAAAACTGACTATAGCTATAATGGTTTTAAATTAATGTAATTGTAAAATCTAAATATCATGAAACATCAAGAGAATACAAATTTCTATGCAAGACTTTTAAAAACTGAGTACATATTACCATAGTATTGATAGAAATATTGTAAAAATTATTTCTTTTGGAGATACTTTTAAAGTGAGAATTTTTCATCATGAGTATTAATTTTCAAGAATCATATAATTTCAATTGTAATCAATAGTGTTAGAATATAATTTCAGATAAAAACATTACTATTCATTTTGTAATGTCAGCAAAATTGATGCACATACCTGGTAAGAGTGGAAGAAAAGGAATTAAAGGATAATCTTACAGATGAACAAAATTCATACAAATAACAGCATATTTAAATCATTAAAAAATTTAAAAATACAATAATAAGTGGAGACTTAAAATAGTGGATTGTGATTATTTGAAATTAATTTTTGATGAATTAATTAACTAAATCAAGAAATACATCTAAATTGCATAAACAATATAAATTAAAAGATAATCAAAATTTGAAGATAAAAATGGATCACAAAAGATGAAAGTAAAAGTAGAAATAAAGATAGAAAATTCAGTTAGGTTGCAAGATATAAGGTAAATATCCACATTTCCACATTCTTCTTATGTAAGAATTTAAGATAAAACATAGGATTATTTATAATAACCTATTGATGGTTTACAAAAATATAGAAATTATAGAAAACCAAGTATAAAATTCCCTAAACATGAACTAGATGGAAAATTAACTTAGTCTTAGATCAAGAGAATGAATAAGATTTAGATAAAATTTTTTCTGTAATTGATTAATTTAGAAAGCACATGTACTGATGTCTTTTTAGGATATATTTTATTTTATTGTACAAAGTTAGAATGTGCATTAAATTTAAAAATACTTGGAATATTATCTTGGTATAATAACAAATTATTATTTTTCTTATAGATATTTTCATTATTTTTCTGATTTTCATATAACTTCCTACATATATGGAGATGATTATAATAGAATATATAAACATATAATTCATTAATATGATTTTGCATTCTGCTTATTCATTTATTGTAACATGTCTAATCTAATCTATAACTCATAAGTTTAATCACCATTCCATCACAGGCATTTCTGCTGGTTGGCTTTATCTTGGGGATACAAGGGTGGTTCAACATATGAAAATCCATAAACATTGTTCACCACAAAAACAAAAGCAAAAAACAAAGACCATATGATTCTCTCAATAAATGCAGAAAAAGCATGAAAAATATAGCATCCCTTTCTGATAAGAACACTTATGAATATAGGCATAGATTCTTAAACTAATAGAAGCCATCTATAACAAACTGATAAACCATATCATATTAAATGGAGAAAAACTGCAACATTTCCACTTAGAACAGGAAGCAGACAAGGATGCCCACTATTGCCATGACTGTTCAACATAGTGCTGAAGTCCTGGCCAATGCAATCAAGCAAAAGAAGGATGTCAAGGGTATGCACATGGGGAAAGAGGAGGTCAAACTTTCGCTCTTTGCCAGTGATGTAATTTTATACTTAGAAAACTCCAGGGACCAAACCACAAGCTCCTGAAGTGCTCAAATAACACAGTAAGTAATGTTTGGGTATACAAAATCAATGTTCACAATCATTAACCTCCACAAATGCCAACACAAGTCAAGTGGATAATCAAACAAAGACACTATACCCTTCATAGCAACTTCAGAGAAGATGAAATACCTTGGAATATACTTAACAAAGAATGTGAAGGATCTCTATAGAGAACCATGAAAGTTGGAGAAACGAAATAGCATAAGACATTAACAAATGGAAGAACATATTATGCTTAAGGCTGGAAAGAATCGGCATTGTTAAAAAGTCTATCATACCCAAAGTGATCTATAGATTCAATGCAATTCCCACTATCCTATCAACATTACAGTTAAAGAACTTGAAAAATAGTTCTTCATTTTGAATGAAATCAGAAAAAAGACAAAACCTGAATAGCCAATGCAATTCTACAAAATAAAAACAAATCTGTAAGCATCATGTTGTCAGGCTTTTGTACAGAATGGGCTATGAGATGGCA